ACAGCCATGCAGGTGGGTCTCCAGCCCCATATCTCCACACTGTGAGGTCCCTGGACCCAAGCTTCTGGACAAGGTGCCGTGTCCGTCACTCGGCAGCGATGCGGATCATGCCCACGAAGTTGCCCTCGCGGTCCTCCTGCGACAGCTGCCAGCTGTCCCCGGGCAGCTCGGCCACCACGTCCAGCCTGAGGACGTCACCCGCTTGCAGGTGGCCCACGGCTTGGGTCAGCTCCGAGCGAGCCGGTCCCGGCCCCGGCTTCAGGTCCAAGTGCACGGCCAACAATGGGTGCGAGGAGCCGTCCCGGAGCACCCTGAGGGTCACGTTGCCCACGGGACACGTGGACTCGACGCAAGCCAAGGAGAACTGGCCGTAGAGGAGGTAGAGCCCGCCGGTGTCCACCTGAAGTCCCCGCGGCACCTTCTGCACGTCGCCGCTGAGGAAGACGCCGCTGATGCCTTCCTCGTAGCGCCAGGCCAGCTGAGAAGGCACCACCAAAGAGCCTGGAGAGACAGGGGGGAAATGGGGGGGAAAAAGGGAACGTGAATCCGGGTGGAAATGGTGGGAATTGGGTGTTGGGATGCCCATGGGAAGGGTGGATGGGGCCCTGGTGACCAGGGTATGGAGGATGCGCTGGGACATCCATGAGGACTGAGAGATGGAGGATGTTCTGTGATGTCTCCATGGGTTGGGGAAGACCCCCTGGGGCATCCATAGGGGCTGGGGGATGCTCCGTGATGTCCCCATGGGCTGCAGGACAGACCAGGACATCCTTGGGGAMCAGGGCATGGAGGATGCGCTGGGACACCTGTGAGGATTGAGAGATGGAGGATGGTCCTGGGGGTTTTGATATCTCCATGGGTTGGGGAGGACCCCCTGGGGCATCCCTAGGGGCTGGGGGATGTTCTGTGATGTCCCCACGGGCTGCAGGACAGACCAGGACATCCTTGGGGACCAGGGCATGGAGGATGCTCCGTGTTGGCCCCATAGACCACAATGTCTCCATGGGCTACAGAGAACATCCTGTGACGTCCCCAGGGCCCGGACGACATCCTATGATGTCCCCATGGGCTGCAGGACAACCTGGGACATCCTTGGGGACCAGGCCCTGGAGGATGCTCCGTGTTGGCTCCATAGCCCATGGAGCCATCGTGGCCTACAGAGAACATCCCGTGACGTCCCCCAGGGCCCCGTGATGTCCCCACGGGCTGCAGGACAACCTGGGACACCCTTGGGGACCAGGCCCTGGAGGATGCTCCGTGTTGGCCCCACAGCCCATGGAGCCATCGTGGCCTACAGAGAACATCCCGTGACGTCCCCCAGGGCCCCGTGATGTCCCCACAGGTTGCAGGCCACGCCATGACGTCTGTGGGGACCCGGGCGCCCCACGGCAACCTTAAGGCCCGCAGGACACCCCGTGACGTCTCCGGGGCCCACAGGAACGCTCCGCCCCCGGGGCCACCTTTCCCCTCCTGAGGTCGGAAGGGAGGAGGCGGTGGCGCTTTGCGGATGTCCCCCGTGTCCCCAGCACTTACCGGCGCTGAGCAGCGCGTGGGCGGCCCCGGCTCCCTGCGCGGAAGAGGAGAGAGCGGGTGTGAGCAGGAAGGGCCCCGGCGTCCCCGGTTCCTCCCCGGTTCCTCCCCGGTTCCTCCCGCCCTCGGCCGGGACAAGGGGGAAGTCTGGAGGGTTTCGGCTCCCGATTCCGGGGGGTTTCCAGGGCCCCCGTGGGGATTTTGGGGAGTCCCCATCACTGGGGGGGGGGGGTGATTTGCCCCCCGTTTGGGGATKGGGAAACTGAGGCACGGAGAGGGCACCAGACAGACGCTCTGTGGTCCCAAGGGACAATCCCAGATGGGTGGGTAGATGTGTCCCTCCCGGGTGGACACAGGGACCCCCAGGGGGGACAGACAGGCAGGTAGCGCTGGATGGACGGACACACGGACAGACGGACTCGCAGGTGGGCAGATGTGGGCAGACACTTGGAAGGATGGACATCTGGACAGACACGGGACATCTGGACAGAGAGACATCTGGATGGATGCCCAGGTATCCATCCATGGACCCATCCATGGACTCATCCATGGACCCATCCATGGACACACGGACACTTGGAGAGACCTCTGGACAGTTGGACACCTGCATGGACAGACACCCAGATGGACAGACATGAGGACAGACACTAGGACAGATGAATGCTGGGATGAACATCTGGATGGAGGGACAC